TATGTCACAAAAGTGACTCAAGGCATTTTACAGATGTAGAGGAAACAAGACCCAAAGGCAAATGTTCAAACCTTCTACTGAAGTTTAGCCACGACCACAGGACCGCTGCTCCATCAGGAGATGAGAGGCAGCGCCCTCAACCTGCAGTGGCTCCCACCCCCAGCCACACGCGGCGCACACACCTGGTCCCACTCCTGCCCAGCCCCAACCCCACAGACCCAGACCGTCTCCCCTGGGCCACGCACAGCGCAGCTCCCGGCGTGGGGTGGGTGCAGCCCTGGGCAGCTCCGGCCCTGTCTGTGCTCCTGCACACCTTGCTCTTCTGCAGAGCTGAATTTTTCTCAAAACAGTACTGCAGGTGTTTTGTTGAATGAGCAGCGTGTTGTTCTCTGTATATCCTGTGAAAGTGCTCAGGCCTGAGATTACAGCTCTGGTGGTGACAAAGTCAGTGTCTGTCTCCTAGAACAAACAGCACTTCTCTTGCTGAGCAGGGCAGAACAGTTAGCCCTTTCCCTGCAGTCCCCCCCATTTCTTGTAGCCATCCAGGCCTACGCCTTGGAAAACAAATTCTTGATCTGTTGTGCGTTTGCTATCTAGCTGCTGCTGCAGGTCTAGAGGTCACAAAATCTCTTTGCTTCTGCAAGTTTCCTGTAGCATAGCAGATATCAAAAGTGTATTTCAGGTCCAAACTTTCATTCCTTATGCTTCCCTGCAGGCTTCTGTCAGGGCTATCAGCTCAGCTGCTCAAGTAGTTGATCTGATAGAAATAGACTGTTACTACTATCTAATTCTGAGTCACAGTGTCCTGCTCTGTAACTCACTTTCTTTCCTGATCCAAAGATGTTCCATCTACAGAAGTCAAGTCTGGAGCTGGCAGAGAAGAGAGAGGCTCTATCAAGAAGCACAGTGGCAGAACAAAGAGTAATGGCTTTAAATTAAAAGAGGGTAGATTAAGGTTAGACAATAAGAAGAAATTCTTAATTCAAGTAGTGAAGCACAGAAGCAGGTCACCAAGAGAAGTTGTGAGTACCTCATCCCTGGAAGTGTTCAACACCAAGCTGGATGGATCTTTGAGCAGCTTGATTTCATGGAAGTTGCCTGTGCGTGTGCATAGCAAGAGTTTTGATATTAATGATCTTTAAAGTCCCTTTCAACCAAAACCATTTTGTGATTCTTTACCTATAAGGTCTGCTTTTATCTTTTCTTGGTCTTGTGTGATCTCTCTGCAGTCATGATGTAATTCTCCTTCATCTGGTAATGGTAACAAGGCAGCTGTGATCAAGGCACTGCATCTTCTCCAGAGGATTTTCTCCTCTCTGCAACAACAGCAATAGGTACTTCTGGAGACTGAAAAGTCAAAACCTGTGATAATTCATTTAGTTAACTCAGTTCAACATTATGTGGGTTATTTACAATCAGTGGATGTCCTAATACAATCTTCTGATGTTTTTCTACCATTAATGCTGCTGAGGCTATCATTCTAATACATCTCTCTTTCCTTTTTGTAACTGGGAGCTTGAGGGTTGAATGATAGGCAGCTGGGTGCTTCTGCAAAGTTTGTGCAAAGACCCCACAGGCAGTAGCCTTTCAGAGAAAAGTAAATGGAATGGTTTATGGTAATTTGATATCACAAATGTGGGCGCTGTCACCAAAACTTTCAACATTACAAATGCTTTCTCCCATGTCCAAAGGCCATTTCAGTGGCTCGTGGGTGTCTGTTTTTGACAAAGCCACCAGTACTGCAGCTGTTTCTCTAAAGGCGTTTGCTGGAGTTTGCATAACTACAGCTCTTAAAAGTGTTCCACACTGTTTCTTTGTTACAGGCTGAAGCATATTCTGAATGGTATTCATTCACTTATTAGGTATTTTCCTGCCTTTTTCAGGTAACACATATCCTGTATATTTCACTTTGTCCTTATAAAAGTGTAATTTAGCTGGGGAAGCTTAGCCGTCCTTTTCAACAGAAGGGCACAGTAAAAAGTCTTTGTATTTTTTCAGATTTGTTTTACCTGTGATTTGAACCAGCAATTAGCAAATGATCAGCATATTGATTGCACATAATTATTTAGTAATTCAGTACACTACCAGTGTAAGATCTTTGGAAATACTGGAGATGATCCTACAAATGCTGGTTCATGTCATTTTTTGCTCCTCCCAAGACAAGGGAATTATATGTTAAAAATCATCTTGCAATGAAATACTAAAAGAAGCTGCATGGAAGTAAATTACAGAAAAATATCTTACAATTTTCATTATCAAAGTTTTCTAGTTATAGATCATGGACTACTGAGAGAGATATTACTCCCCATTTGTTAATTGTTTTTAGGTGTTAGACAAATCTTGAAAACTGTCTTTCTCTCTGGGCCAAGATTTGGCTTCTTTGTGGTAATAATGGTGTGTTACAAGGAGTGAAAATTACCACCTTCAAAAACTCAGTCATTGGCCACGTTTTCCCCTTCAGCTCTTGTGACAATGGATATTCCTTTAAGAAGAGAGATTCCCCTGCTTTCATTTCCAGTGTAAATGGGGTTGCTGACTTTAATAGTTTCTCATTTTTTTAACACCATACCCACGAAGATGTCAGTATGTCTTTTATCTCCTGAGGGATTTTGTTTATTTTCTTCTGATCTACAACCATCGTTACTTTTGAATCTATTGCAAGTTTTTGAGTTATTCCTTCAGGGATACATACCAGTCCTGCTCACAGTTTACACAGTAAGTCCAACTGTAATAAATTTGCAGGTGCTAATTTTCATTTAAAGTGATTATGTGCTGACAGTAGACTGTCTGTTTGTAGCATCACTTCTACCTGTGAAACATATCTCTGCTTTCCTTATATACCTACTACTACTTTACATTTCCTTTATCTTTGAGCTCACTAGGAAATTGGTTAGGGTGGAGTTAGTTGTCCCAGTATCAACTAAACTGTGTATAAACCTTATTTCAAATGTTTAATATTTGTTCCCAGGATCTTCCTGGAACGTGTATTCCTGTGTTTGTTTCCTCTGCTGGAGGCTGGGGACCTGGAAGTTGTGCACAACTTCTTCATCTTGTGCCCTGCCCTATTGGGCTTCCCTAAACTGTGGTCTCCGTCCCCTTTTCAGGGTAACTGGACATTCTCCTCTCCAGTGCTGTGATTGCTTGCAATGACTGCAATAGCTCTCTGGTCTTAACTGATCTCTGCTATGATCTCTGCTTTTCTGATTTCTGTTGCTTCTTTGCCTCCCCTAGTAAGGCTGCTGCTAGAAAGCTTGCCTTTTCCTTCTGATTCCTTTTTTGACTAGCTTTGTCCTCATCGCTTTCATTATATACAAATGTTTCTGTGTTCATTAGTTCTCTGATTGATTTACATTGTCATCCTGGGAAATGTTTAGTAAAAGATTTCTTGATGTTGAGGCTGCTTGATCGACAAACAGTGAGGGTGTATTTTGTCTGCTTAGGTTCTATTCCTGTATTCGCAGCTGTTTCTCCAACCTTGTTAGAAAAGCCAAGGGGTGTTCCTCTAACTCTTGATGACAATCTGTTAACTTTGTCCAATTTAGCACTCTTTATCTTGCTGCTTCTGTTGCAGACCCTAGCACATTTCTGCATGTTCTAAGCATATCCACCCCTGCCTGTGTCTCAGTTTCAACCTGATTCTTGTTCTGGCGTCACTGTTCAGTCATCTTGGGCTGCAGTCTGGTCTCTGTTCTACAAAATTAAGATTATTTCATTTGTAGTAAACGTAGCGTCTAACGACTGACAGATGTCCATCCATGTCAGACCGTATGCTCTAAATATACTTCTAATCATCTGTAATATTTTTTCAGGGTCCTCCTGTAACCGTGGCATTTGCTGTTGTCACGCCACTGAGCCTGGTGGACTAAAAGGCACAAGCACCCTGTGCACTGCTACCACAGCCCTGGTTTGGGCAGAGGGCAGACTACCTCCTTTAACAAACTTTAGCGGAGCTCTGCAATGTGATAAGCAGCCAGGGGTGCAGAAGAGGGGAGGAAAAAGAATCCAGAGGCAATAGCAGCACAGCAGGAGCGCTGTCAGCTTTAGCAATTGGTGGAAGTCCCCTAGATGGAAGGACATAAGGTGACATCATTTTCATGTTTCCATTTGACTTAAATAGACCTGTTTGGTTCAGCAGCTCTGTCACAAAATTGGCTTGGGACAGTCTGCAAATATGGAAGAAACAAGACCCAAAGGCATATGTTCAAAATTTCTGCTGAAGTTTAGCCACGACCACAGGACCGCTGCTCCATCAGGAGATGAGAGGCAGCGCCCTCAACCTGCAGTGGCTCCCACCCCCAGCCACACGCGGCGCACACACCTGGTCCCACTCCTGCCCAGCCCCAACCCCACAGACCCAGACCGTCTCCCCCGGGCCACGCACAGCGCAGCTCCCAGCGTGGGGTGGGTGCAGCCCTGGGCAGCTCCGGCCCTGTCTGTGCTCCTGCACACCTTGCTCTTCTGCAGAGCTGAATTTTTCTCAAAACAGTACTGCAGGTGTTTTGTTGAATGAGCAGCGTGTTGTTCTCTGTATATCCTGTGAAAGTGCTCAGGCCTGAGATTACAGCTCTGGTGGTGACAAAGTCAGTGTCCGACTTCTAGGACTGATAGCTCATTCCTTGCTGATCAGGGCAGTTCTGCCTTATCTTGCAGATAGCTTCTGTATCCTTTTATGAGAAATGACTGAAAGGTGTCATTTTAGCCTGACCCACTAGTCAAGCCTGATGGAGGAAGGGTATTTTTGGCAACAAAACAAAAAATAAAATCGTACCTCTGCACTCTTTGTAGATATTCAAATATAAGAAGGTAAATGTTATCAAGAAAGATTAGACTAACTCAGTATTTTGGTTGTATTTTGGTGGGGTTTTGTTTTGTTTGGATATGTTACTTTTTAATAATACAATTTGTTTTGATACCACTGGATTATGTCTAGAGTGCATCTGAAGCTTGGATAGAAACATAGAAATCAAATTTTGGCTTCAGTGTTTGTGCTAATCTCCTGTCTTTGGTGAGCTTCTGTCTTGTTAATGTATGTAGATGTGGTGTTTCAAGTTTATTTCTGGTGCTTTCCACTGATTGAGTGGGATGAAGTAGGCCATCATATGTTTTGATGGATAACTTTCATTCCTGTGACTACATTTTAACACTGATTCTGAATTTCTGTCTGGAGGGAAGGAAGCAGGTCCTAGGAAACAAAACAGAAAAATTAACGGAAAGAAGCATTTTTCTCACTTTTTCAAGAATATTCTTTGCTTTCAGTCGGTGTTTTTGTCTTCACTTAGTTAACTTATTTTCTTCTTGCCTGCTTCCTCATAGAACTGAAAGGATTAGAAATGGGTAAGAGTAACTTCATGGTGATGATCACAGAAAGAAAGTATACAGCAGGTCTTTGCTTTGATACCTATATTGACCAAATAGTTCCCAGTGGCAAAAGATCCTCTACAAGACCTAAGGAGGAACCTACCCTTGAGGGCAAACATATAAAGCTTTCAGATGACTCCTCTGATTGCAGCTCCCATTTCTAGTTTGAGTTTTAGGCTTTTTTTCTCTCTTTTCTACAGCAGAAAGACATGGAATTAATTCTGGTCATGTTCTTATGTCAGTTTTTCTTAGTTACAGACCCACAGCCTGCTTCTCTTGTTTTTTTCCTGTTGTCTCTCAGCCTTCCTTTGTAGTCTCTTCCCTTGTTTTTCATGTTTAATCAGATTTTTGTCTAGTGCATTTGGGTTTCCTGATCAAATTAGAACGATGTAATCCTTGTGTCATACATTCTGAACAGCAACTTTTGAAGCTGTAATCAATTTCACCCAAATTTGACAGTGAGCCCAATGTTTCAAAGATTCTGAAACCTTCCTAGTAAGGCAGCAGTTTGGGGAATGAGACTGAAATGAGCATTTTGTTGGTTTGTTGGACCTCATCTTTTGTTTGCTTTAGTTGTGTAAGCATCACTATAAGCTGCACGTATGTTGTGAACCACAAGCATAGTTTTTAACAGCCTGAGTCTTTGCTTGAGACCTTTCTGTGCCAGAGGGAAACTAATGGGAATTCTCACAGATTACAAAAATCTCCAATAAACTGTTGTGCCCATCCTTCCCTAGTAACTGGTGGCAAGCCTTTACTCTCCCATTTTAGTAACTCTAATTTGTAGGCATCTCAGTCTGATAAGCTCCCAAGAGGTGTGCTGCTTTAGCAATTGTTCTCCCTAACAGCCTTGTGGCAACTGTGCCAATTTTTTAAGCAGAAGATACTTAGAAACACGTTTGGTTTCTGTCTTTGTTGCTGTTGTTCTAAAATTTATTTATGCGCTTTGCAAAGACTTTGTTCTCTTGCATGCTATGCTGCATATTTTTCTGCTGTTTAGCTTTTCCTGATTCTTATTCCAATGTGCATGCATTCATGATTGATTGAATACTGCCCTCATTATCCAGATACGGAGATGCTGTAAGTACACTTATGACAGCCTGCTTTGCTATTTTGATAGACTGTGTTGGGGTGCTAGTTTAGGCTACTGCAAGGGTGGTGGCTGACTGTAATAGGAGGAAAGCTTGTCCAAGACACAGCATCTGAGACTGGACAGCTGATTGTAATTTAAATACTGTTTTAATGAAAGCTTTGGGGTGGCAAGACAAGGAGTTTCGCAGCAAATTACCTGGGGTATGCAGCAGTCAGAAATATTCCATCCTCTGTGCCTCTGGGCAGTTACCACTATGCTGTGTGCCAGCAGCACTCATACCCAGTGTTGTGCTAAGTGAGTTTCCGTTTCTAGTTTTCCGTTAGACAAGCAGGATGCTTACAAACACGATGTCTGAAAATAAGATTGTACAAGCTGAGGAATTGTTTTTCATTTTCATGTTTTAGATCACATTCAAGTCGTGTGTGTTTGTATTTTGGCCATTAGCATATGTATAACCGATATAAATAGTGATATGTATGGATGTTAATACATATATAAATTGCTAATTTTGACCTCAGATCTCCGCTGATTTTGAGGCTAACGATAAGATATACTTCGTATTCAAGGGGTTCGCTTCGTGTCTCCCTCCCCCGTTCCCGCCTGGTTGGCCCTACTCCCTCTTCGCACGTCTAACTGCGAACGTAGCCGGCGCGAAACCAAGTCACGTAGCAGAAAGCAGATGGCGGGCAGGTACCCCGTCCCTCGCTGCCAGCTCCGCTTTCTCGCCTCGCCTCTCCTTCCTCCGTAGGCGGCCGCCTCCCGGCCCGCCGCCAGCCGCGGCTGTCCCGTGGGGCCGGGCTCCGCCATCCCGCGCGCCACGAGGCTGCCGGGGCTCTCCCTCCTCGCCGTGCAGGGCTTGGGGCCCCTACGCGGTGCCGGCCGGGACTGAGGCGGGCCGTGTTTTTTCGCCGGCAGGCTCCTGGCGGCGTGGGACGCACAGGGGGAAGGCTGACGGCGGCGCCGGCGGGCCCGAGGCAGCCCGGGCGGGCGGAGGCGAGCCCAGCACTAGGACCCAGAAGACGCGCGGAGGCTCTGGCAAGATTACAAATTGGTCGTGACTCAGTCTGTCGGCGGGTGGCGAAGGGAGCAGGTCGGTGCCGTCCGCCCGCCCGTTGCGGGGCCGCGCCGGGGCTTAGGGCTGGCGGGGCGGTTGGTGGCCGCGAGGGCGGTTGGCGCTCCGTACGACGCCCTGCCTCCGTTCTCGTCTGCCTGTCCGTCCGTCCGTCCTCCCGCCCGCCCTTCCTTCCCCTCCCCTTCCCTCCCTCCCTCCCTTCCTCCCGCGGCCTGGCCCTGCTGCGCCGCTCACCGCGGCCGCCTGTTGTCTACTGTTTTCCAGGCAGCCAAGATGGAGTACGAGTGGAAGCCCGACGAGCAGGGGCTCCAGCAGATCCTGCAGCTGCTGAAGGAATCGCAGTCCCCGGACACCACCACGCAGAGAGCCGTGCAACAAGTATCCTTGGCCGGGGCCTGCGCCGGGCGGGGCGGGCGGGGCAGAGCGGTGCAGGGCAGGGCAGAGCAGAGCGGGACGGCAGCCGCGGCCCGGGCGGGTGCCGGGGGAGCCGGGCGGGGAGCGCGGCCCGGGGGGCGGACGGGAGGGTCGGGACGGGACGGGACGGGACGAGGCGGCGGCCGGGCCTGCCCTGCCCTGCCCGGGGTCCGCCGCGATGCGGTGGGCCGAGCCTCCGCTGGAGCGGGCGGCCGTGGCGCGGCGTTTGAACCGCCGGAGCGGCCTGCGGGGCCGTAGGGCCGCCGGGCACCTGTTGCGAGCCCGAAGCCAAGGGCCGCTTCTGCTTTTTAAAGCCCTCGCTCTGGCGCGACCGCTTCGGCGTCAGCCGCTTTACTGGGTTACCCCGCGCTGGGCCGCTGCCAGCGCCGGGCCGCGCCGAGGCGGGCGTGCGGCCCTCGCTGCGGCGGATCCCGCCAAGAGCACCCGGTGCCGCGCCGCCTCCCACGTAGGGCTGCCCGCCGGCTCCGAGGCGCGGCGGGGCCTCCCGAGCCCGTCCCCCGCCGGGGCTTGAGGCAAAAGCCGGCGCTATGGGCGGGAGGGCCCCCGCCGGAACCGTCGTCGGCGTGCTCTGGGCGGCCTGCAGCCTCTGACGCTACGCACTTTGCTGCGGGTGGGGACGTTCCTGCCTGCCGGCAGCCCGAGCCGTCGTCGTTAGACTGTGAAATTGGCGAGAAGGGGTGATTGTCTGTCTGCTTCTTCTTGGGCCGATTCGCAGCTCATTTTGTGTTAGTTGTTTGTAGTGGAATTTGTTTCTGATTCTTTTTTCTGCCCATCAAGTCCCTTGGTTCTAGAAATGATGAAATGGCACGGTTTTAAGGAACAAAGAAGAAAATTTAAGCGAAGACTTAATAGAAACGTGGCTCTTGAAAAATATCTGTTGTTTCCTGAGTTGGTTGTGTAAGTGCTTTGGAAAACCAGGGAGTCCTACTGGCATTCTCTGAAGGATATGAGTTCATTATCGTGATCTCTTTTTGCTTAAGGCATGTGCTTCAAGGTCTTTGCAGACTGCATCAGAATTCGTTAATGTAGGTAAGAAGAGATGTACATAAGGTTATTTTTTAAAATGAGTCTATCCTGAGGCCAAATTTACTCAACCCATAGGCTTTGCTAACAGATGCAGTCAGATGTGGTACAGCTTCTGTTATTGTTTAAAAAGTGAAGTTATTTTTCATCTTGATCATCATGCTCTTCGAGCTGTGTTGTAGATTTTTGAGATGCTTTTGCTGCCTGTGGAAAATCCTACACAGTGTGGCTAAATAACACGTCAAACTCAAACAGGAATTCTTATTTCTTATTAGATATAAAATTGTTTATAGCAACAGTAGTTTTAATACAAAATATTTCTTTAAAGCTCTGCTTCAAAAAAAAAAAAAAAAAGGAAAAGAAAAAAAGGGTAATAACTTCTGCTTTGTTTTTTGAAAAATAGCAGTGTAAGTGTAGGATGGGCAACATAGTGGATGTTGTCTGAATGATGTGCAGAAGTTAAGTAAAAATGCCTTTAACTGATGTTTGAAATGACAGCATGCTCTGGTCAGATACCTGTGATGAGAGAAAGTTCCTCCTATGCTGGCCTGTAAAAGTTAGAGAAGTGGTACACTATGTCATCATGTTAGACATCCATTTAGGAAAAATTTTGATGTCTTATTCACAGACAGCAAACTGTAACTTAAGTAAATCTTTGAAACTGTTTTCACAAACCTCTGGGATGGTTTCTTGTATTATAGGATGCTGCTTAGCAGCTTGTCGAAGCAGGATGGTGGATCAGAAGATTCAAATTTAAAGAACTTTCAGTCATTAATATAAGATTATCAGTGTGCTGTCTTGTACCTTATGACACAGTTTTGACACATTTATGTGATTAGAAACTAATTGTAATGAAGTGGGGAGCATAGGTTAACCAAAATCCTTTGGTATCGAAATCCTAATAAAGTTATGAATCAGAAAGTCTTTCAGATGTTTTTGAGATGAAGAAATTAATTGCTTTTTGAAGGGGAAAAAAAGGGAAAGTGTAGGTGAAGAAGTTGTTGAGGAAAATATGGCCTATTAGCTCTTAATTGGTTCATTGATTGATTAGTTAAATTCCTATTTAATACTCCTAGTTCTTTCTGTGTTTGCTGCTGCTTTGTATTTGAGCTGCTGCAATTTATTGCTGTTGGTATTGTTTGACATACTGTTTTGGTGATCATGTTTCTGAAGCTTGGTGTAGAAAGGAAAAAAAATTACCCTACTTTTTTGCTTCTTAAAGAGCTTCTTGGCATGGAAGCTAAAAAACAATCGTTGGGTGTGTGTTTTATATTTCTTAGGGACCATGTGAGATCATCAGTACTGTTTTCACTTGGCTATCTATAGTAGGCGTGCTTTACTCTTTAAGTCAGACAGGCTTCTCTGACCATTGCTTGATGTAAGCAGCCTAAATATCTAAAAATGAAGTTTCCTAAGTTTGCGATTCGGACTAGGTGAACTGGTAGGTCACTGGAAGGAAGTAGTTTCTTTAGAACTGGAAGGAACTTAATGGGTCATCATATCCCAGTGAATGCATGTGGTTAAGGTTTTACTTTTAATGCTTAGCAATTCATCTAAACAGCTAGTAAAGTCAGTGCATGTGAAGTAAATACTCTTCTTTGAAAAACATTTTTATGCTAAATGTCTTGTTTAACCCTTCTAGATATCATCAGTATGACTTAAAGATGATGCTGCATGCTTATGACTCAAAATACCAATTAATAACAGTGTATGAGAACGGGTTATAAAGAGAATGCCAGATGACTGTTCCAGCCAAACAGCAGCAGATGATATAGTAAATGTTAATAAGAAGCTCATTCAGAAAGCCAGCACTCTAGAAAATGGATATGTATGCAAAGGAAATGTTCTGTATTACTTGTTTTAAGAAACAGAAGATAAGTTTCTGATGCAAATTATCTTCTCACTTAAAAGTATACTAATTCTCACTATCAAAATCATAAATTGCTGTTGTGCTTTAATGCTGGAGTGCTTTTATTTATGACGGGGGGAAAAAAAAAGATGTGTTGTGAGATTCTGTCTCAGCTTCTGTGTGTAAACACTGAAATTAAAAACTATACAGAAGCATCATTTTTAGTGTTTTTAAAAGCACTTTAAGGATTCTATTAATTTCTCTGTCTTTGGATAATTTTTTTTTCTGTACTTCACAACTAAAAGGTATTCCCTAAAGTACAAGGACTGCAGACTTGGTTTTCAGTTTGTTTTTACTCTGACTATTTTAAGCTTTTACAATTGTACAATTGTTTGAAGTGTTTGGAAATTTAATAATAATTTCATCCAGAAGGCTAAATGCTGCATGTGTAAGATTCAACTTCTCCTTAACAGTTTCTCACTACAGAAACTAGAACAACTCAATCAGTATCCAGATTTCAACAACTACCTGATTTTTGTTCTTACGAAGTTGAAGTCTGAAGGTGAGTTTTGAAGATATTAACTCTTTGATTACATTTTATTTTTCACCTGTTTGATTTTTTTTTTTTTTTTTCTTTACCTTTAAAGTAATTGAAAGCTGAATCCTGCAGTAATTCTGTTGATTTGTTGACCTCTGTAGTTATTGAGAACTCATTTAACTTTTGGGAGGATTTGTGGTAACGCATTTGAAAGCATAGTTTCAAAATCTTAGTATAGATTCTGCTCTAAGTATCCTATGAAATTTTTACAGTACAACAGAAGCATCGTACTTCTCTGAGGCTGCTGTGAAACTGGAATAGATTTGATCTATGGTGGTGAAATGTGACTGGGGATGTTATTAAATATTCTGATAAATCCAGTTACAATCATAATTGCACCAGTAATTAGCCTGGTGAACTTTTTAATGGTCACATACCAGAATCATTCAGAGAGAGTGTCAGAATCTTCATCTTAATTCGTCTTAATTTTAGTAAAATGCAGTTAGAAATCACTCACAGTTTACCATTGGTTTATTCTTATGTACCCTAGTACATGCTGTGTACTGCACTCTGTAGCCTCTGCAAATGTGTAAGTTCAGGCAATTCTTTAGTAATGAGCAGAAGGTGAAGGATTTTTATTTGAGTTCTACAGTGGCTGATTTGTGAGATTTTTGCCAGTGAAAGAAAGATATTTCAGGATCTATTTTGGCACATCTGGTTCTTGTATGTTTGTCATTAATATGTTGGATTGTTTGTGATTTTATTTTTTCCTCAGTGTCTTGCCACTAATACTTTTTCTGATTTCTGTTGTTTCACCTCTTGGCTTTAGAATGCCTTCTTTTTTTCAGTTTGAAGTAGATCTTAATTACAAGTAGCCCTGTAACGTTCAAAGCATCAGCAAGATTCTTTATTTTTTGTTTGAAATAGTGTTTTCTTTGTGTTGTCTGCATATCTAGGAAGGATGGAAGGATAGCAGAGTATAATGTTTTTGTATTTTAAGACTGGGATATATCACAGTGGTTTTGGGTCTTCTGTGTAGTACGTTTCCTAATAATATTTAAGGTCTTGGGGGAATCTTTGAAATCTGAGAGTATTTTCAAGACCTGAATCAGCTGAGATAATAAGTTACTGAGCAAGATGATAGTATAGATAGAGAATATCCTATATAGATAGAGAATATGCTTTAATATTGATTAATATGGTATCATACTTCAATTGCTAGTGTGATTTACACTATTAACAGGAAAAAAAAAAAGTGTTTGTGGTCAGACTGCATCCATATCTCGCAGGTACATTATGTAGGTCTTTTATGAGACTGCAGAGAAGTAATTCTTGCTTCAGGGAAGATTTTCTCCTTCATCAGTGACTGAACTTTCAGAGTCATACTCTTGTCTAAGACAGCTGTTCTTCAACTTTGTGTTTCAAGATCAGAAAATCTTCAGAACAGGTGGGGCATGGTCCTGATTAACCTGCTGTAGATGTCCCTGCTCAAGCAGGGGCTCAAGCAAGACGTTTGACCTCCAAAAG